AAACGTAAACAGGAACAGCTCGAGCTAAATAGTCGGAAAAAATTCGTCTTCTCGAAAATCGCGGGATGCGCAGCGAGAGGGTTAAAAAAAGTTTTTTTCCCCCCAAATTGGACATCCTTTTTGTCTGGAACAGAAAAATACTTTTCTTGTAAGCAGCACATTTCGAAGGGAAAGGGTGAAGACTACTATTAGATTTTGCAGGAGCAGATGAGTCAGGAGTGTAACTTATCGTGTGAGTCTTGAGTAGGACAAGAAACTCCTTTCTTACCTCACCCCAAACCACAACACGCAGGAAATGTCTTAAGATTTTAATGAATATGATACATTTGACAACGGACTGCTTATCTGTGTGACTGAAATTGAGGAATTTGTTGATTTGTCGGAGCCAATGAATAGCGATTCTAATGTAGAAATCAATAATTTAACTCCTATCGAAACGGTTACATTTTCTAATTTTTTACAGTTTGGAAACTGTGAAAACACACCTCTCTCTTATGGAGCAGGATATTTATGAAGCAGTATTTTCTTCTTTGCTTAGAATCAAAAAGAACTCTTTCAAGTCAGGAATCATCATCAAGCATCTACTAGTTAATATTTTAAAATTTCCCATCAACTGGAGCGTAATAATTCACTAATAGTATTTTAGCTGTTGAATAAAAAGTGTTTTTTTTCTGAGTATGGATATTTTTTTGTGTAATTGTTTACAGAACTCCCAAAATGTAAGAGCAAAAAATTTGTATTTGTTTGAACCCCGAACATAATGTTCGGTCCCAATGAATTCGTTAAATCAGGATCCGGCTGTATTTAGAATAATTGCAAAAGATGCCAACTTAAAGCAACAACTTTTACAATCAACGATTATATATCTACAAATAAATAATCATATAAAGAGTTACTTGAATTATTGAATTAATACAAGATAATATTTGGAAGTGATATTCAACCTAAAGAATATATTTCTAATAACTGTATAATTTAAATAGTTAATTAAAAGTTGGTTAAAAATATTTTTTTAATAGAACTAAATATTTTACGATATGAAACGCAAGTTTAGAAGTTTATTAGCCGAATACATATCCCATCTCAATTTCATATAAAAATAATATTAACTGTTCTCGGAAAAACTACCCATTTTTATAAATAACCATAATTTAGATTCTTTGGTCATTATTTAGAAATATGGTTAAGGGCACATAGAAAGAATCTGAGTGGTAGTATATCGTGCTTCCACACCACAGGTCCGGGGTTCAAATCCTGGGCTGGGCAAGGTCAACTAAGCCTTTCATCCCTTCAGTGGGTCGATAAAATGAGTACCAAGCTTGCTTGGGAACTGAACACTGGGGGGTTTCGCGTCAAACTGACCCCCTTGACCGAAACATCTGCACATACACCCCAGCGCCTCTATCACAAAAGCTGAGATAGGCACAGCAGTCCTTGGCCCTCATGGGCTGTTGGGACAAGATGTTTTATTCAATATAGCCCTTGTGTTACTTTTTAAAGCTTTGTGATGTCTGTAGTGAGTGAGTATTTTATTAATGTTGCACAAAAAAGTAACATAAAGGCTATTGGTCATTGTCTGGTAAGTAGGTAGTTGTTCTGAAGTTTGGTCATAAGTATAAATTATCTTTTGTTAAATTGCCTCGTAGATTATATTTTTAGTTTGATCCTTGGAACCGAATGTTTGTTATCATGAATATGCAGAGCCAAATATTTTTTCTTGAGCTATTTTTTTTTTGCGTTCCATGAACTAAAATCAAAATTCAACAATCTCGAAGGATTTTTCTTCTGTAATATGGAATTTTTATCAGTAAGTTTTTTTTTTTGTGTGAACTTACTTGTTAATTTTATTCCAGACAGTGAAATTTAATACCCATAAAGTTTATGACGGAAAAAAATGCTTTTTAATTTTAATTCAACTGAAAAACTCATATTTAAGGAAGTTAAAAAACTAACTACTGATTAGGGGGGGGGAAGAGTTCTCTCAATTTTTTTTGTTCCTTTTCAATAATTTTCTAATTTAACTCATTCATTTATATAGTTTTTAGTTTTATCAGTTGGATCATTTTTTTAAATAAATCTTTTATACAATTAAAATTCAACACGTTTGTCTCATTAATTTTTTCTCAATTGAAAAAAAATTAATTGTAACATTAACATAATTAGATATAGAATGCTAATCCATTTAGCACTTTTTTTACTAGCTTTACTATTTTAACTGCATTCCTTTCAAGCATCTTTCTTTTTTTTTAAAAAAAATAATAAATCGAAGCAATTATTAAAATTTACATACAGCAAGTTTTATACTTTCCAACTTTTGAAAGGTAACAATATGCCCCAGTATAATTGTTGCAGTTAATAAATTCAAAATGTATCAACATTTCTTTCAGAAAAAAAAAAACTGAAGAAATAAATTATTTTGGATAGTTATATTCAATTAAACTGAACTCAGTGGCGCAACAGCCCATGAGGGCCAAGGCCTACTGTGCCCATCTCAGTATACGTGACCATTGGGCACTGAGGTGCATGAGCAGATGTCCCGATTAGGTGGTCAGTAAGAAGCGAAACCCCCCATGTGTTTAGTTCCCAAGCATTATACAGTATTAAAATGAAAGTATATAAATTAATTTTGATAGTTAAAATTTTTGATAAAATATTTTATATATATATGTTACCGTTAAAGTGTGAAATCCATTATTTCATAGAATAACTAGGTATTTCATGAAATAACTAGACAAGTCAATTAAAGTATATAAAAATATTAAATTCTACAATTGAACTAGGTATTCTATAGAATTATGATTACTTGATTGTTAAAGTATGAAACATGGCACTCCAAAGTTCTTTGAACTGGTTCTAGCTGCATTAGGAAGGATTTTTTCGATTAGGGATGGTCAAATAAAACAGTCGTACTCTAGATATCAGTTCAGTATATGTCAGTGAGAATTAATTTCCATTGGAGAAGTTCTAAATATTGACACATAATTCTAAATATTGATCGATCTGTTGCAACAGCTCAAAGTTGCGGTACTTTTTAAAACCTTGCTGAACAAGGATTTAAAAAGTGCTCATGTAAAAAAAAAATGTGTAATGGTAAAAAGTAGGCTTGTTTCAAAAATAATAAGCAATCCAATCCAAAATGACATCACAGAAATTCTTGCTCTAATAAATAATGAAAAGTAAAATAAAGGTATCTCATGAAATTTAAATTAATAGTCTCTTACATTTTTGTTTTACAAAGTTTACACAATGTTTCTATGAAGCAACAGTTTTTCTTTCCAGCGCGCATTTTTGTTGATAATATTTAAATATAATATATTTTTGCAACCTTTCCTCCCTCCCCTTTCTGTTTAACTAATGTTAGCAATATGAGGAATAATGAATTTTATCATCTGCTTTCCCTTTTTATATATCAATTATTCATCCGCAAAAAGGATAAAATGTATTTTTCGAGAGATTTTAGTTATTTATGATTAATTAATTTACAAAACATCTTTGAAATTGTTTATTTTTCACTTTAACGGTCTATACTTAGTTATTTCATAGAATAACCAAGAAAAGTATGAAATGTTTCATCTATTATATACTTTTAACTGACTTGTCTAGTTTTTTCATGAAATACCTAATTATTCTATGAAATAACTGAACACTTTAACGGCAACAAATATAAAAATACGTGTGTATAAATATGTGCTGGCTAATTATATGCATAATCAATTCATTAATATTCATAACATTTTAAACATCATGACAAAGACATAAATATGACAAAAACACCAACCAAATGAATGATGCATAGATTTATTAAATATAATAGAACATAGTAAATATCAGAAACAACGATAAATATTTAAAACATGTATAAGAACACAATATACAGATAAAATCTCTTCCTCCATTCCAGAAATCAGCCTTGTCTGGTTTGATTGACGACTGTGTCATAGCTGGGGGGTGGTCCATAATAGGGAGGTGGTGGGGGATACTGAGAATTTAGAGGCATGGGGGGAGGCTGTTGTGGATAAACAGCATTCTGGGGGCAAGTACTGGCTTGAGTATAACCTGGTCCTCGTGCAGGTCCTAAAAGATAACTCCAAAACGTTAATGTTTTTCCTTTTTTAAAAATTTTTTCTAACAAGTGATTAAACAAAATAAAAATAATTGAAGAAATATAAGGCAAAATACTTTACAAAATATTCGCAGCTACATTTAAAATATTTTTTAAAAATAATTTTGTATTTCCTTCATAGATAAAACAATATTTTAGTATGTTGTATTTAACAAGAAACTTGAAGAAAAAAAAAGAATGTTTAGAATTATGTTAAATATTTTCCTGTATGTAATCCACGGAAGAATTGTGTGTTAAAAAGCTTCAAATTTCATTGTTGGCATCATATGCTGCCATGAATAATCTGTTTTTGTTTTGCTTATGCCACTTGTCTGACGTAGTCAGATCGAGGCCCATGAAATTCATCATGGCAACAGGTTAGAGATACGCCTGTCTTTAGCGTAAGCTTTGAGCCCATGAAGGTGACAGTATGATTTTGCTCACGATAGATGGCGACACCATTCGAACCCACAGATTTAACGAGCACATTTTCCGTGTGTACTTGGTGAATATTTGGTGCCATCGGACATTGAACCCAGGCCTTCTGGTCTGGCGTCCGATGCTCTAACCACTAGGCTACCCAAACTCAAACTCAGTGGCGCAACAGCCCATGAGGGCCAAGGACTACTGTGCCCATCTCAGTATACGTGACCATTGGGTGCTGGGGTGCATGAGCAGATGTTCCGATTAGGTGGTCAGCCTGAAGCGAAACCCCCAGTGTTTGGTCCCCAAGTAAGCTTGGTTCTCATTTTATCGACCCACTGATGGGATGAAAGGCTGAGTCAACCTTGCCCAGCCCGGGGTTTGAACCTCGGACCTGTGGTGTGGAAGCGCGATGCACTAACCATTCAGCCACTGGGCTTCCACTAGGCTACCCACAGCCCTTAAAAAATGTTTCAAGCGGAGCGTGATTTTGATCCACGGACCTCTGGGTTATGGGCCCAGCACGCTTCCACTGGAGCACTCTGCTTCCTGAATGAATAATTTGATATATAAAAAAAACAATCCATCAGAAAAGCTTACAATAAATTTTTGAAAGAAATGCTGTTTGTTTTATAAAATTAATAACAGATGGTTTATAAGTGGAACTTGATAAAAGCACATCTCAATGAGAAAGTTAAAAATGACTTGAAGTCTGTATCCGTAAATATTGTAATAATACCTGGAGGACTGAAAGAAATTATTGTCTTTAGACACTGAATTAACAGATAATTTAAATCGATAGTTAGGAAATTAAGGGAAAAATGGATATCCAATGCAGAAAAGAATTTTACTAAAAAATCAAGAAAAATTAAAGTATGCATTACATGAAAATGCTTCCAACTGTATTCTGAAAGTGTGGAATGATGCCTCAAACCTTTGATAAAGAACATACTTTGAAAATGCAATATTGTTGTCAGAAATGACTAACAATGAAGACTCGTTTTTAAGTGACTCCATTAAGTGAAAGTGTAATTAATTTATTCTTTTCCAAATATGATGAATTGGATTTTAAAGGTTTCTAATTATTATTAATAATTTTAGTGATCATTCAAGGTAGTATTTTTTTTATTTTAATGGATGAAGTAGACATTTTTTTTTATAATAATTTTTTTCCTGTACAATTTACATCAAATAATTTTAATCATATTGTTTATTTTTTATTTTATGTGACTCTACATTATCGGCAGTATATATTTTGGATTATTTGCCATAAAAATCTCTGGATTATACTGCATGTGCAACACTTTTTTCCTTTACCTGATAAAAAAGACTTTGTGGATAATACACTGCTGTGGATTTTATGCAGGAAAATACAGCACAAATCTAATATAGTTTTAAATTCAATGGAGCGCATGTGATAGTATTGATCACATGACCGTCATGAATTTAGCCCATCAAACTTGTATAAGACAGAACTCTAAATAATTTTTTGTTCATGTGTATATATGGTTTACTTCTTGATAATATTTAAAACTTTAAATATTTATTATTATTTTCCACTCTTCCTTTAGCTATTTTTACTTATCAAAGTACAACTTAAAACAACTTAAAGATCTTTTACTTTTTTCCCAAACAAACAACCCCCCCCCCCCATTAATTTATAAATTTCCTCCAAAAACATAAATAATTGATAAATCAAAATAGCAAAAAGTTTTATCATACTATGTATTACAAAATGATACACAGGAAATTTTTTCTCAACACCTTTTCAATTCTAATAATTAAAACTTTGTTGTCACAAAAGTAGAATTTTAAAATAAACTTACTTTTAAAAAATTATCATAACAAAATTATGGAAAAGCATTTCATTTTGCAAAACAAGAGATAATATAAATCATAACAGTAATAGAATTAAAATTACAAACATTTGAATATATATTTAAATGCTGATTTGAAATAGACAACAAAAATCATGCAAGTTAAAAAATTACTTCAGAATATTACATCATTGTCAAGTCTCCATTGGGAGTTTTCTTATTTTAAATAGCATTAATAATTAATCAGAATTGTTCAGGAATTTTATAATAGTTAGAATTAATAAAAATAATTTTAAACAACAAAATTGGTTGAATATGCAAAGAAAAAATAACCAGAAGTTCATTGAATTTTACACTAAATTTAACATAGCATCAAATTTTAGTATGTTTGCCAATTAAATATTTACAATAATCTTTGTTGGGACACTTTACTACATTAATAAAATAATAATTTTAAAAGTTTAGGTGTGATAAAATAACAGCTTAAAAGACAATTTCATTAATTACAGATAACTCCACTAATTTTTAACTCAATTCTGAAAACAAACAACCCATTAACCCCTTGCCTCTCGCTCCCATCAAATTCACGGGGTGAAATTTCCCTCTCTATTCCTCGTGCCTGTGATATTTCCGGGCTGGAGTTGAAAAGTAATTTGACATAAAAGCTTGAAACAATCTATTTCTTAACCCCAGAATATTGTTTTTTTCTTAATCTACACACCAGATGGCAGCATCAGATTATTTTTAATGTATTTAGCGATAATTATTATTTTTAACTAAATGTCAGCACAACAAACACATACATTAGCGATATCTTTGATCAAGTACTTTGTTGTGCTCTTCATAAAAACACGTAGGTAAAAATTCTGAAAAAAAAAACTGATAAAATGTATATATATATATTAATATTGTATATATTATACAGTTAGAGTCAAGAAGTAAATCGGATTGTACTTTTAGTACTTCTTTGACACTGACTACAATAAAAATATTGGAGCAGTGGACATTGTAGACCCATTTATTGGAGATTACACTATTGCTCGAAAACGAGGCAAGAAATACTATAAGAAAATATTTTTTTATTTGTTAGATATAACTATTTTGATCTAGTACCTTATTTATAAAAAACAAGGAGGCAAAAAATCACATTTGATGTTCGTTTATCCTTAATAGATGAACTTATTGAAAAGTATTCTATGTCAGAAACCACTGCAAAAAGAGGCCAGCCAAATTAGGAGAATAACCCCAACCGTTTGATTAAAAGACATTTTATTAGACAGATACCTCCAACCGATATGAAGTGGGAACCATCAAGAGAATGCAAAGTTTGTTGTTCCAAAAGAGATGAAAACAATAAGAGATGCAGAAAGGAAACTCTGTATTACTGTCCAGTTTGTGATTTTGGCCTTTGCATCTCATGTTTATTTATATTATGCAAAAGTGTAATAAAATTCATTTAATGTTTAAAACACATGTTTTTTAAAACTTTTTCTCTTTGTTGGAAAGCCAACATTCAGTGATTATAACCCTAAATGTTTGCTTTACTTAAAAAATTAAATTTCGTATTTTAAGCTAAAAATTAATCCAAAAATTAAAAATGATTACATATTTTGAACATGTACTTAATTTTATATAATTTTCTTGAATAAAAAAAATAGGCACTTTTAGAACAGTTTTCTTCAAAATTATCCGATCATTAAGGGGTTAATGGACATTTTATACAGATATAATTTTCCCACAAATGCTAATCTATATTTTGTATATACAGATATCTTAGTATAAATCAGTTTGAACAGTTAATTTCTTTTTTGGTCACATTCTATCATTTCATTTTAAATAAATGATTCCCTTAAGGAGACACAGTACAATTCAATTGACATATATTGGTTAAAAATATAATTTTTTTTAACAGTAAATTATTCTTTAAATAATTTTCTATAATCTCACAAAATTCAAAGGCCTTAAGTTAAAAAAAATTCAGAATTATGATAACTTTTATGTTCATTTTTATTCACATCCCAATGGCAAATAAGAACTTCAAATAGATTTACTCAGAGAGAAAAAAATAACTCATTTATCTTAATTTAAAATATTAAGGCTTTATTTTACCCTATTGTGCCTAATGCTTTGAAATTTTTTTTACCTATTGCTAACAGTATATGTGATAAATGTTGGTATGTTCTTTTGAATCAAAGCAATACTTATTTTTTTTTTAAAAAAGTTGAATTTAGAATTTGCACATTTTTTAAGCAATTTTCAATAAGCCTTCAGAAAAAAAGTATTTAACAAATATCAATCATGCTAGAAGTAAACCCATAACAACTTTTGTTATACATAGCTTGACATATTTCTACATCAAATTTCAAGTGTGTACTTCAATTATTGTAGGAGGAGCAGTATTTTCCAATCATTTCATAACTTTAAAAACTTTTCTTTAAAAATTTAAATGGTTAGTCTTTAGTAGTATTTTGAACACAAAAACTGTCTTATGTAATCCATATACATTAATTAAAAGCAAAAAAAAAATGTAAAAACCACTAAACAAAGATTTTTGTATAATCTGTACCACATGCTCCTTAACACAACATGAGCAGTATAAAATTCAGAGGAAAAACAATTATATTCATTTCAAGCATTCCTTCAATAAATAACTGGCCTATTTTAACAGAAAAATAGCAATATGGAACATAGAACAAAATGAAAATTTACCATAATAAGAAGCTAACTGTGGAGGCATGACTCGAGGTGCATTGGAATGACTCATAAAGCCTTCGTGATTCCGTATCCTGTACCACCATCCACCACCAGAGCAGAAAAGTATTGTGAGAAAAACCATTAACCTATTAAGCAAATAAATGTCTTTTTACATTACTCACATAATTTTAAGCATTAACTGCATTAAAATTGAAATATATATGATAAACAATATATAATCCACAATAACATCAACTATAGCTCAACTTAAAGCAATTTAATAAAAACTCCATTTAATATACCATAAAATCAGGTGTATAATGCGCACCTGTACCTTCAAACCGCATTTTTTAGTTTTTAAGTATATTCGCCATATAACGTGCATCCCCCCTTTTACATAGGAACCTGAATGAAGATGAGAGATTTATTTTCACTAGAGCATTTGGTTTGGGTTTGCAGTGTAGTTTTTAATGGATAAGTAGATCTGATAGACAATATTAATTAATTTTTTTTTTTACTTTCACAAGGTCGAAGCATCGAAAATGTTTAACTGAACTTGGAATATCAGAATGATGCAAAATTGATTCTAAATTAAAATCTAAGAATAGTGATAATGACAAATAATATATTATGATTGTTCTGTAAATTGCGAATTTTATGGTAATGATATTTCAGACATCTGTATGCCGATTACATCGATTTAGGCTTAGCTACATAAAATCCTCCGGCCATGGCAGTATGCACACGTTTGCATCTTTCGTCCCCAAAGGGTTAAAGCTATCACTTTCAAAACCTGGTGTTATGAGGCACACCCATCAATTTTTATCTTATTTTTGTGTTAAAGAAACATGTTACATGCCAGATTTTACGGTAATTAAAACCACAATTCTCAACAAAAAAATATATAAATCATGCAAGTAACTGCTATTACATGAAGCTAACATTAAGTTGTACTTTCAATATTAAATTTAAAAAAGGATAGTGATTTTAAACAATATTAGTAACAATAATTCAAACAATATTATGTTGTTAATAT